TTGTTATCACTTAAATTCTTGTTATCATACACAAAATGTTTGTTATCACTTAAATTCTTGTTATCATTGCATTATTCGGCATGATGTGGAGTTCAACATAAACATGAAATGTTTATGTGAATTCACATTAGGTAAGTCGGGGTATGTTGGCATAACATTGGGCATGTATGTGGAGGGCGGGTGGGAAAAATTGAAATTTTTATACTTTATTAAAATTTATTTTATAATTGAAAATTTTAACGGAAGCGAGCTGGTAAAACATATTCAATATTTATATGACACACAAAAATAATTATTGAATTCTAGGCAAAAATTTTAGGGTAATTTTTCAAATTTAGGCTAAAATTTTGGGGTAATTTTTCAAGTTGATGCTAAAAATTTACGGTAATTTTTCAAATTTAGGGTAAAATTTTGGGTTAATTTTTCGAGTTGAGGCTAAAATTGTAGGGTAATTTTTCAAGTTTAGGCTAAAATTTTTGGGTAATTTTTCAAGTTCAGGCTAAAATTTTGGGGTAATTTTTCGAGTTGATGCTACAAATTTACGGTAATTTTACAAGTTGAGGCTAATATTTTGGGGTAATTTTTCGTGTTTAAGCTAAAATTTTAGGTTAATTTTTCAAATTTAGGCTAAAATTTTAGGTTAATTTTTCAAATTTAGGGTAAAATTGTAAGGTAATTTTCCAAGTTTAGGCTAAAATTTAGGGTAATTTTTCAAGTCTCAAGGTATCTTTACAAGAAATTACTAAATTTATTTCACATCATTTATCATCTCGACAGAAACAATTGCGAAGATTTACAATACCAATTCATGATGAAAAAAATTTAATTACAAACGAACAAAGTTCAATAATCAATACAGCAGCAGCCATATGTACTGTACTTCACGTATATATCAGTTACAATGAATAAATCACCGAAATTTAAAATTTTCAACAATAATCGGCAAATTCTCAGTTGTAGAATGTCATTATAAACAAATTATGAATACATTGGATATTCGCACGATGTCCATTCGACAATATTAGTTATTGTTATCATTTTTAGCGCGTTTTCTCATTTATGGAAAAAATGCACTAATGTGCTCGCCATGTCCGTCTGTCCGTCCGTCCGTCTGTCCGTCCGTCCGTCTGTCCGTCCGTCCGTCTGTCTGTCCGTCCGTCTGTCTGTCCGTCAGTCTGTCCGTCTGTCCGTGACCTCAAGTTTTCATCGACGAGAAAATGCGCTCTCTGTCACTCACTGCAGTGAGTACTGAGTTATATTTTTTAATAATTATTATTTTTATAATTATTATTTTTTATAATTGTATTTTTTTATATTGCAAAACCATTCCTGATACCACCAAAGCTTGACCAGCCACCGCGTATCTCGCGTTGAAAAAGATAATCTTCAATAAACGGTTTTTCAACATAATTTATTTGCAATAAACGTTTTTTTAATTAAATCAACTAACTATCAACGTTTGTTTAACACAAGCAACTGGATATCAATGTTTTTTTTTTTCAACTAAATCAACTAACGATAAACGTTTTTTCAATATAATCAACTAAAAATCAATGTTTTTTAACACAAATCAACTAGAAATTAATGTTTTTTTTTCAATGAAATCAACTCACAATCAACGTTTTTTCAACGAAATCAACTAGCAATAAACGATTTTCAAAGAAATCAATTCGTAATAAACGGTTTTTTCACGAAATCAACTAAGAATAAAATGTTTACAACAAAATCAGTTCGTAATAAACTTTTTTTAAACGAAATCAAATCACAATAAACGGGTTTTCAACATAATCAATTCTTAATAAACGTTTTTTTCAACGAAATCAATTCGTAATGAAAGTTTTTTTAACACAATCAATTCGTAATCAACGTTTTTTCGACGAAATCCAGTAACAATAAAATGTTTTCAACATAATCAATTCTTAATAAACGGTTTTTCAACAAAATCAATTCGTAATAATCGTTTTTTCAACGATCTATTCGCAATAAAAGTTTTTTCATTGAAACCTATTAGTAATAAACGTTTTTTAAGCGAAATCAACTATCAATAAACAGTTTTCAACATCATTTGCCCTATAAATGAAATTTTTACTTATATACTAGAGAAGTTCTATGACATTTCCTAGTCCAAGAGAATAGTTCATTGTAAATAGTCTAGGCGGAAAATATCTATAGTTTCTCTATATATTTTACTAGAGGTAAATAGAGTGTAAAACTAACCCATAATAGGGAGGTAAATGGGCATTACTTAATGGGGAGACGCCATGTTAATGGGAAATTCCCGTTAATGGGGTAATGGTGAAACGCACAGTTAATGGGGTTAATGGGGGACTCGCAGTTAATGGGAAATTCCAGTTAATTTGGTAATGGGGAGACGCCAGCTTAATGGGATAATGGGGGACGTGCTTTTAACGAGAAATTCAACTTAATGGGTGGAATAATGGGGGAGACGCCAGATAATGGGAAATTCCAGTTAATGGCCTAATGGGGAGGCACCCAGTTAATGGGATCTTCTGTTAATTGGTAAACATAGAACATGTGTAATGGGGCCTAGTGTAATTCCATTAGTGGTATTCAAGGTTCCATTAATAATGGATGCTATATTCTTGTTTGTATTAAATTATTCCATTAAAAATGGGAATTTGATTCACTATTAATGGAATAGGCAGGCTGGGGTACAGGGGTGAAGGCCTGTGTGGGCGCTGTGTGAACACATGTATAGTTTACACAACTTATTGTACAATACATTGATATCCCAACAATACATATTGTGTGTGCTACGGAAATACTGAGACCAAACATTTCACTCAAAATTCCGGACAAATCAATACAAAAAATTTTCAAAATTTCATATTCGTTTGCTGTTAATTTATACATTTTGCACATTTTCCACCGTATTTTTTTCAATGTCAATACTCGCTTCATATTTAATAAACTTCTGTCTATGGAAAAATTGACGGTAGATCACCGTAGACAGTAGATAGACGGTAGATCACCGTAGACGGTAGAAAACCGTTGACGGTAGATCACCGTAGACGGTAGATCACCGTTGACGGTAGATCACCGTAGACAGTAGATCAACGTAGACGGTAGATCGCCATAGACGGTAAAGCACGGTGGATCACCATAGACGGCAGATCACCATAGACGGCAGATCACCGTAGACGGTAGATCATTGTAGACAGTAGATCACCGTAGACAGCAGATAGACGGTAGATCATCGTAGACGGTAGATCACCGCAGACGGTAGATCACCGTAGACGGTAGATCCCCGTAGACGGTAGATCACCGTAGACGGTAGATCACCGCAGATGGTAGAGCACCGTAGACAGTAGATCACCGTAGACAGTAGAGAGACGGTAGATAGTCTATTTTACAGCCGTACAGCTAACACCCAAGTTCACACACTCTGCTAAGTTGACATCGCTACGCGGGTAAAGTTGGTCCGTTACTTACGCTAGAAAGTAAAGTTCCTTCAAGTCTTTGCTATAACTTAATTACTTGACCCACATTCTACTCTTGACCCACATTCTACTCTTGACCCACATTCTACTCTTGACCCACATTCTACTCTTGACCCACATTCTACTCTTGACCCCTGTCTCTTATACACATCTAGATGTGTATAAGAGACAGGTCTATGCCTTCACTTGGAGTGTCTAGGCCTTCCCTTGGTGTATCTAGGCCTACACTTGGAGTGTCTAGGCCTACACTTGGAGTGTCTAGGCCTTCACTTGGTGTATCTAGGCCTACACTTGGAGTGTCTAGGCCTTCACTTGGTGTATCTAGGCCTACACTTGGAGTATCTAGGCCTTCACTAGGTGAATCTAGGCCTACACTTGGAGAATGAATGGTCATCTGGTCCAAATAGCGGCACAACGTATAAATCTACAACATTGTAAAAACGGTCAAAAGATGCACGAAAAAAAAAACACATTAGCAAATATCCATAGTTTTGGGTTCACAAGGAAAACATGTCCAAAACACAGTTCATATATGGTAGTATAACATGATTTAGGCTCATAAAACATTAAGCGATGAGCATAAATTGAACATGAAGCACATTGTGAACATGCTGGACCACATGCAACATGAACATGATATGTGCAGCAACACTTTGTCACGCCATTACAAGGCAGGTCCCTACATATCACTGTATCACCTGTATCAAACATGTCCATTAGTCGCACATGAAGCAGGTTTTCAAACTATGCATGCGTCCGGTGGTGAATATAAAGGATGAATATCCTGACGTATATATTTTGTAAATAAGCTTAACCCAATTGACTAAGTGGGTAAGGGATAAGTTAAGACATTTCTGTCTATCTTAGACTAAACCCTATACCGCCTGACATGAGTAACCGGAGCAATATTGTCGCAAGCCTACTTCCCAAAAAGGATACGTTCTAGTGAGCGCAAAATGACTTGCACTGATGGTTGCCGCCACGTACGACAACTATTCTACTCTTGACCCACATTCTACTCTTGACCCACATTCTACTCTTGACCCACATTCTACTCTTGACCCACATTCTACTCTTGACCCACATTATGTACTCATCAAAGAAAGCTCTTAATAGCAATATTAAAATTTCACATCTGGCAACATTTCTACATCGTTCATTTAGCCTAACAATATTTAAAGCATAAATAATTTCAAACCATTAGGCCTATAAATTTTTTAAGTAATATAATAATTTCAAACCATTAAGCCAAACAATATTTTAAACCAATAATAACTTCAAACTATTAAGCCTAAAAATATTACAAACCATAAACTATTTCAAACCATTAAGCATATAAATTTTTCAAACAATATAATAATTTCAAACTATTTATCCAATCAATTTTTAAAGCATAGATGATTTCTAACCATTAAGCCAAACAATATTTTAAACCATAAATAATTTCAAATCGTTAGGCATTTTATATTTAAACCATAAACAATATCAAACCATTAAGCCTAACAGTACTTCAAACCATAAACAATTTCAAACCATTAAGCCTAACAATATTTTAAACCATAAACAATATCAAACCATTAAGCCTAACAATACTCCAAACCCTAATTTCTAAGCACTCAAACAACGAGCACATTTTTTCAGACAAGTTTGCAATAAAATTTCATAATGTACACAATAAATAAAATCAAGATATGCGAAAATATCTTTACGACTTTTTATTAAATCACCTATCGCTGTTATCTAATGTAATTTGTTTAACTATTATTTTTATTGTTAATTCGAATCTTGATTGTAATTTGGTAATTTGCTAAGAGATGAAAGTATTTGCATTATAATTGAGGCAAAGTATGTATATAATAACAAAGCTAAGAGGTAAATATGATTCAATATGCGGCATGCAAACAATTAGGGGAATAAATATACTAATTTCTCTTCTGAAACTCGCGGTCACATCAAAAGTATCGTAAAATATACACAACATCGTTTGTTTACATGGTGACGTCACACGAGATGACGTCACGCGCGATGACGTCACGCGTGATGACGTCACGCGTGATGACGTCACTCGTGATGACGTCATCAAGAACAGCATTGGTGGTTGCCTCCCCTTAGCCGTTCACCCGCGCCTGCGGCGCTAGTAGCGCTAGGACCAAAAATCGAGGTCGTTTCATCTGCGATTCAGGGGCGTGAGATGCGATCCAGGAAGTGACAAGGAAGGTAGGCTGGATTATTCACAAAAAAAATTGACTGGATTTTGCACGCAAAATAGGCCGGATTATACGTCAAAAAATTCAGCTGGATTTTGCACATAAATGACAGAGGATGCCAAGAGGCCGTGGCATAATACACTTCGGTCACCGACACACTGCGGTCTGGCAATGGCCGCCAGACTACAGCAGGAGAACCGGCCGTAGTTGTCAGTTGTCGTACAGCGCAGAGCGGTGCAGAACGTCCGGCAGCGGGTTCAGTTGCCTAGTGGCATCCTCGGCGGTAGGAGTGTTACTCGCCTCAACAAATAAACTGCAAGTCTTCAGCTCATAAAGTTTAGATGTCAACATCGTTTCTTCGCTCCATGTCCCCGCCAATGAGCCAATCATGCTTCACATTCTGGGAGAATATTTCCGATGGTTGGTGCGGGTTGGGCTCTTGTATGGCAGAGCTCATCGCCCTTAAATCGCCGGTGCCACGCGCTTGATTTTTAAAGATCGTTTACAAATGTTATTGAAGATTCAACTGCCACCACATATATTATTCACTACGTGCTCTGCTCCAAACATTTCAATAAGATACATCACTAAAGTTATCATCAAATCTCTCACTACGTACGAGTATTTCTATCAATAGATTCTATATCTCTTCTTTGGCAACTCTATCGAAATCATCAAAAAATTGAAACCAAATTTATCACTCCATTTATCCTAGAATTAGTCACTCGATTTATCGGCGTTGATATCTATCCTGAGATTCAAGAGATCACAATTGATCACTTGCTTGTTGATTTTCTATAACTATAGGTCAGGTGATAAATTCTGGAGGACGCGGCAGAACATTTATCACTTCCTCGGGTCTGCTGATCATTTCTGAAGCTGACAGCGGCAGGAGGATGATAGCCGCAACTGAAATGATAAGAGGATGATTAGTGGGATGATTAGTGGGATGATTAGTGGGATGATTAGTGGGATGATTAGTGGGATGATCAGTGGGATGATCAGTGGGATGATCAGTGGGATGATCAGTGGGATGATCAGTGGGATGATCAGTGGGATGATCAGTGGGATGATCAGTGGAATGATCAGTGGAATGATCAGTGGGATGTACAGGGGGATGATCAGTGCAAGGAACAGATAGGCTGTATTCTACTCGGTCTGATTTACAAAACATTTTTAAACTCACGTCAATTATACGCCTTCTCCGAGACACAAAACTGTGATAACAATACGGAGGCCACGAAACAAACCAGGCAGGAAAGGCCAGGCGTAGAAATTACAGGTTTGCAGAAACAAAATTTGCACATCCCAAGTCTGCATAGACTAGCTTTTCACAGACCAAGTTTGCGCAGGTTTGTTTCTCCAAACCAGACGCTATGCGGCACGGAAATGAACTACTGATACCAGAGGGTGGTCCACTTCACGATGAAGATGAAGGGAGGAAAAAAGGAGGCGTTATAGTCTACCTCAGCAACTCCCTAGCAGCAAAAACAGTTCCTCTGTATTTAGGCTCCAACGGATATGTGGAACATGTTATACAATAGATCTCACATCTCCAACTGTGCATAACAATCTTATACCGATCGCCTGACTGCCGGCCGGAAAAATTCAATGAAATTCTAGAGAGAATAGAAACAGAAGTGGCCAACTTAGGTGAACCTTCCCTAAATATTGTGGTTGCGGGAGATTTAACCTACCACACATACGATGGCCACACTTGGACTGTGTAGGACGGCGCAGAGATCACGCCAGAAACCAGGCAACACAACTACTTAGAATCGCTAGGGAGCATCTGCTAAGTCAACAGGTGCTGCTGCCAACAAGAGAACACAATATCCTGTATCTATTCTTCACCAGCAGTGAAGAAGTGGTTGCAGATATTACTGTTGAGGAGACCGCACTGTGAAACCATCGACTAGTGATAGTCGAGACAACTGTTGGGATGGGAAACCAGCCCAGGCCTACATCTCGAGAGAGCCTGGCTAGGCTAAATTTTCATCATCGAAGAATAGAATGGGAGGCCATTGGGTACGAACTCTTCGAAATCGACTGGAGATCCGAGTGCCTGGAGTTAAATGCCGAAGCAATATACAACAAGCTATGCGAAGTATTACTACAGGTATGCACGCGTCACACGCCGGGAAGAACGACCCCCAAACGCCACATAATTCCGAGGGACAGACGGATCCTCATGAGAAAACGGGCGAGTTAAAACAACCAGATAGCAGGCGCCTCCAGGAATATGAAGAGGCAGAGGCTGGAACATCTAGGGGAGAAAATTCAGGACACTGAACGACAGTTGCACGACTCACACGAGGGTGAGCAACAAGTTGCGGAGGCGCGAGCGGTGGCTGCCACTTGGGAGAATCCCAAATATTTCAACAAATATGCCCAGTCAAAGGCCAAAATCAGAGCATCAGTGGGGCCTCTGAAAAATAACGATATCCTCTTTTGAGACGTCCAGTACATGTGCGAACTGATAGGAGCGCAGTTTGAAAAAGTATGCAGCAAACATCGATACTCAGACAGGAGAACGAAATTGGAGTCTTTAAAGACCTACCAGGGGGAAGGGTGCTGATGAACATTGAGTTTGATGCACCGGACCTATAGAGAGGAGTATCCAAGAATTATCGACTTATTCGTCTCTCGGGCCAGATGGGGTCCCTGCAGAGTTACTGAAAAAAATGTATCGGTGTACTAAAGGTCCTTCTGACTTCACTCTAGAAAACATCATTGAGAGAAGGAAACGTTCCTAGTTACATACCTAAAATTGGCGCTAATAACCACAATCTACAAAACAGTTGCGAGAGATAAACTCCCAAATTACAGTCCGGTTATATTACCATTACACGTAATCAAAGTATTTAAGAAGGTTGTTGCCAGAAGGTTGGTACAGTACATGGAGGAAGCTGACCTTTTCAACAGAAGGCAAAACGGTTTTAGACGTAATAGCTCCTGTTTGTCTCTGTTACTGGAGCATCACCTCGCAATGTTGGAGAAGGGGGCCGGGGTGGACGTGGTGTATTTGGACTTCGAGAATGCGTTTGACAAAGTTGACCATGGAGTGCTCTTCAGAAAATTAGGACTACTAGGGTTCGGAAGTGAATTGCTGGCATGGATCCACAGCTTCCTAACAGAAAGACTACAAGCTGTCGTTGTCGGAGGCTCGAGATCGAGCGAGGCCATGGTGAAGGGTGGAGTAGCACAGGGATCGGCACTTACCGAATCCTCTTCCTCATTCACATCGCCGACATAGATGCGGCAGTGAACCACGCCACTGCATCGTCATTCGAGGACGACACCAAGATACTAATGACCATCACTGACAGGAGGGACTGCGAGAGGTTGCAAGAAGACCTCTCTTCAATATTAAACTGGGCCCAAGTGAACAACATGCAGTTCAACGGGACCAAGTTTGAGGTTCTGAGGTACAGAGGTACACGAAGAGCCGGAATGGAGCACCGCTACCAGGCACCTGACAACTCGGAAATCGAAGGAAAGCAACTCGTTCGCGATCTAGGAGTGTTGATGAATACTGAGGTCAAGTTAGGTGATCACTAAACGGCAATAACCGCAAGAGGTAGGCGACAGATGTGGTAGATCTGGCGGACGTTCAAAACAAGAGAAGCGGAACCGATGATCACAGTCTTCAGAGCCCATGTAATACCTATCCTTGAATACTGCTGCCAGCTCTGGACCCCGTTCACAGTCGGAGCAGTGCGGCAACTGGAAGGGGTCCAGCGAACCTTCACTTCCAGGATCAGAGGGATGGAGGAGTTGAACTACTGGGAGAGGTTGAGGCGCCTGGGTCTGTACTCACTGCAGAGGAGACGGGAGAGGTATGTCAGTCTGTACACATGGAAAATGATAACCGGAATGGCACCAAACTTCGAAAGCGAGACCTTCAATATTTAGACATACCATAACGAAAAAAGGGGGAGACTGTTCCGGATCCTCCAACTAAGTGACAGATCTGCGGTCAGATTTCAATTCCAGCGGGAAGGATCCTTTTCCGTGGCAGGGCCAAGGCTGTTCCACGCCCTACCAAGGGATCTAAGAGAGGGGGAGTTCACCCTGGAGACCTTCAAGAGACAGCTAGACGTGTTCCTGAGCACAATCCCAGATCGACCTCCCCTGCAACACTACCAGCGGCGAGAAGCAAGCAACAGCATCGTGCTTCAGGTGGCCCAAATGAGGGCGGATGAACGATAATCAGAAACGGCAATCCAACGTGGCCTGGGAGTGCTACGTCCGAAACAAATACTAAGGATACTAGCAGGTAGGAGGCACTAGTGACACCATTCGGACACTCATACAAGAAGGCAGTGGGCACTAGTGACACTATTCGGACACTCACGCAAGTAGGCAGGGGGCACTAGTGACACTATTTCGACACTAGTGTCTTAATGATGTCGATGGGCAGCGGGAAGATGATAGTCGAGTTCTTCTCCGCCGAGATTTGGCTGAGCGTTTGTAGGTACCGCAGCTGTTGTGGCAGCGTTGAGGCAGCGATGAGGTAGCGTTGTACAGTATACAGTATACGTGTAGAGTGTGGTCCACAGGCGGCATGAGAGAAAAATACTGAGATTAGATACTGTCAATCTGACGCTATACTGGCCCTGTGTATTTTGGCCCAATGTTTACTGGCCCAATGTTTACTGGTCCAATGTTTACAGGCCCAATGTTTACTGGCCCAATGTTTACTGGCCCAATGTTTACTGGCCCAGCGTACCAGGCCAGCGTGGCCTGGTATCGTCACACTGCGTTCGTTCGTTGCTGCCACTACACTGACTGTTACACTGAGGCGTTATCATCAGCCATTTCCACCCAATACCATGATTTCATACAACGATAATAATTATTACCCTTAACGATATAACATACACACACGTAATTTATACAGCCTACCTTTTACCCCCTAACCCCAATCATCCCTTCCTAACTGAGGGATTATCATCAAATCGTTTTGATCTCAATAACCAATCATCCGAACTTCCAATCATCCCAACTGATCGGGTGGGGATGATTGGAATCATTACCTCACCACCTGATCATCTGATAACCCCCTCTTTCCGCACGCCTGGTATTACATCCCGGTAATCCTCATTACCCACCTGCTAACCTCCCAACACTAACCCCCACAGTCTCTTGTTCTTCTGAAATGACCCCCCCTCCCCCACCTGAAGGGCCGCGGTGCTCTGGCTGATGACGTCATCATCCNTTATTGGGGGTTACTGCTGCGGGGGGAGGGGGGTTAATGGGGGTTACTGCTGCAGGGGAGGGAGGTTATCGGGGGTTACTGCATCCCTTCGATGCCGTGAGGGGGGTTATCAGTTATATAAATGGAGCTATAACCAATATAGTCGCATGGTCTAGAATACCTCTACCTGTATATCCTTTACACATGGCATAACCTCAAATTCATTATATATAACTTCTTATTCACAATATACAACATCCTATACACTTTACATACCATCTATACACTATTTATAACAAGCTAATCAATAAGTAAACATATAACATCATACATATCATGTTATAGACTACATATATCATGCTATACACTATACATCATACTATACACAACACATTACACATCTCACGTCTCGACACGCTCGACTTTAACCCCCAGGGGTCGGTGGCCTCGTCGAGACTGTTCTGCATGTTGTGCGAGATAGTCTCGCGCTATAGGCTACATATAACACGCTATACAATATACATAACATACTATATACAACACATTACACATCTCACATCTCGACACGCTCGACTTTAACCCCCCAGGGGTCGGTGGCCTCGTCGAGACTGTTCTGCATGTTGTGCGAGATAGTCTCGCGCTCGCTCAGGATCTCGGCGAGGTTCTTCGTGCCCAGCACGTTGCGCAGCGTCGTCGCTGCCAGCAGGCGCGTCGAGTGGCTGGTGGGGGCGGGTAGGTGATGGCCGTGGCATGTCATACTTCAGTTAGAAAAAAGGTCTAGTGGTTTACACAAGGTATCACTAAGGTCTATCTTAAGTTAGTTAACATCTGCAATATATATTTCAACCTATTCATCATGATTCATTTCAAACTATCCATTATTATTCAGTTCAACCTATTCACCACGATTCATATAATTTAATGTTCAAAATAGGGACTGAGCTTCGTATCAACATTCATTTCAGTTCATGTAAATTTTTCACCATTTCGTTTACAGGCAAAAAATCTTACTTCCAAAACTTCGATGATTGTGCGAGTACAAAAATATTAATGATATTTATATTATATCAATAAATGAATTCTGTTTCCGTCTCCTTATGGACAGTTCGCCCAATTATCGCCGTAAATTCATGACTACTTTTTATCAATTTTAAATTAAAATTCTTGGGTTCCATTACACTGGATTAGGCCCACGGATTTCTACACTGAATAGACTTATGTCCGGGTTACGTTTGGCTTAGAATTGTTCAATTATTATTGCTTGTAACTAAATAAACTTTTATTTGCCCGCTTATGTACGACGTACAGCCCACGACAGATAACTGCTAAAATAATTAGCTGCAGTATCTGTCTTGGGCTGTCACTTCCCTCACTCTTACCCTCACCCCCTTCATCCCAATCCCATTCCCTCACTCTTACCCTCACCCCCTTCATGTCAATCCTTACATGCCCCCTCACCCCTACCCTCATGCCCCCTCACCCCTACCCTCACTCTTACCTTCACCATCTTCATCCCAATCCTTACAGACCCTCTCACCCTTACCCTCACTCCCTCCCTTCATCCCAATCCCAATATGCACCCTCACCCCTACCCTCACTCACCCACCTCCCACCTATAAGTCACCCCACCTCCCATCCTGATAACCCCTTTCACCCCTAGCCCCACATGCCCCCTACCCTCACCTACCCTTACTATACTCACCGCATCAGCCAAAAAAAGGGCAGATTCAGAACTATTCAGCACTTACTCACGGTCTTCTGGATACTGTTACAACTTCGAGTAGTTTTTTCAAAAATAAAAAACAGATTATAAGGATTTTTTGTGTAAGGTTAAAATTAATACAAATTTGGATTATAGTCAAACTAATTAAGTCATTAATTAAATAATTGACTATGATTGAAACTAATTGAGTAAATTACTACATCAGATGTGTACGTGTAGAGATGAGTAATATAAGGTAAACTCACAACAATCCAGCGTATGCATAACATGTTCAACATTCATAACATGCACAACATGCATAACATGTTCTACATGCACAACATATTCGACATACACAACATTTTCAACATGCACAACATGTTCAACATTCATAACATGTTCAATATGGATAACATGCATGTTCAATATATACAACATGTTCAGCAAAACATGCAGGTAACATGACAGCAACATGCAGCCTCTCATAACATATCAACTTCTCCCATTAATTAGAACTTCCCCCAGTTACTTCACCGAACAACTGCCGTCGTTGTTTGTTTATATTCCACGACTCATCGTTTCTTCTCTAAATCATGATTGTTTTTTAAGAATATTAATTATTGATGAAGATTGGAGGCAGTGGTGGCAGTGGTAGCAGTGCCGGAACTCTGCGTAACGTTACACACTGTGGCCGCGGGCTGCTGCACCCGCCACCCGGTAACACAATTGAGACAACTGCAACAGTCACTGTGTCTCATGACAGTACCTGTGTGTATACTGCCATGTACTGCAACTGCCAAGCAGTACTGCAATTCACATCTGTCATGAACTGTAACTGCACCTGTCAACCCGACCATACGCGCCTGTAGCGTCTACGACCATACGCGCCTGTAGCGTCTACGACCATACGCGCCTGTAGCGTCTACGACCATACGCGCCTGTAGCGTCTACGACCATNAAAGATCCGGTCAAATGACACGAGTTTAGATCTATGAACAAGGCACGAAAAGGAAAAGAATCGGCGACAGGCCACATCAGGCCTACACTTCAGCGCCGAGATCACTATGTTATGTTATGTTACTTACGCTCTATTTTCTTGTCTATGATTGGTGGTTTTTGCTTGAAAGGCCGTCAATGATTGGCTGATGAACTTACGATCTCTTAACTTTTTCTGAAAGTATGGGCACTGCAACAGCGGTGGGCGATAACAAGAGCGGTGGACGACAACAGCGGTGGACGCCAACAGCGGTGGACGTACGCCAACAGCGGTGGACGACAACAGCGGTGGACGACAACAGCGGTGGACGACAACAGCGGTGGTTCAGGTTGCTACACTCAATAGTTTACGTATAATTTGCCGCCACGTACGACAACTTTAAAATGTTCTCTGTTGCGTACTAACGTCCTCAGGTTGCTACACTCAATAGTTTACGAATAATTTAATTTGAAAGTTATGTTCCCGGAGAGTGACATACGGCGGTAGAGGGTTAACCTGATACAGGGTGGTCACCCATAAGTCATTACATAATACAAGTAGGTATGCAGCTAACGACTCCGACCGTTATGTAGGAATAACGCTAAAAAGTGCTACATCGCGACAATCGTGCTAAATACTGGGAGGGTACTTATTAAAGTGCCCTAATTAAGTACTGGGGACGTATTAATGTGCCCGCCCTTTTATAGACTTAGTACTTCAGCCCACAAGTGCCGTCTTGCTTACGTGATGTTGTCTATGCTAACTCAGTGTCTAACTTTCCTTCCATCTCTTGCGCGTCTAGTGAATATTGCGTCTCTATTACAGATGATTCAATCTTATTTGATTGATTTACTTATTCACACAGGAGCACACATTATAATGAAATAAATAAGAAACGAGAAAAAATAGCAAGGTTTCCAAGTGAATGCCCTTATCATCTAAATAAGCTAAGCAGGCAACATAATAGGTATAAAACTATATTCTAATGATAATAGGATGACGCATTATAATACATTTATAATTTATAGAATGATACGCCTGATGGACTCCAGAAACTGGTTAACATACGTCAATTTAAATACACATTCAGAGAAAACTTCAAAGATTAGGCGAATTAAAATGAATATTTCCAGGGGTCTAAAGTTTAAATAAGAATACACAATGTTTTTAAGAGTCAATTTTCAAATTTTATAAGTAATTTTTATTTTTTGAGATAAATATATTTAGTTTCCAAGGGATAAGTTATTAGTTTTCATAGAATTAAAATAAACATTTCCAGCTTGTAATAAATGAGAGATTTATTGTAGTTAGTAATAAATGAGAGATTTATTATTAATAAATAATAATGAATGTAAATAAATAAATTATAATATTTATTCATTATAATAAATAAATTAATAATATTAATAATTTAATGGTAATATTATTATTTATTATTATTATGTAATAAATATAAATAATATTTATTTATTAATATCTCTTTAATAAAGAGAATTTACAGGACCAAAGTGATTTACCGACCGCGTACCGGAATCTTAAATGACCAAGATCAAAAATCAAAATGTCCATCTTCTATTCTTTCGATATTAAAATCATTCCAGAAGAACTGATGCACACATGGGTATTGTGATACATACACATATTGTACACATGCAACATAGTACGCATTATAATACCATGCCAACAAATGTTGCTAGGACATTTGAGTACGGGAGTGCACACTTAAAGCACATACTTCTACATAAAGAACCCATACTCGTAAAATAATCATTGTAAAAAATACACATAGTGGAGATACTCTTGCATTGATGTATAATAAGAGAACAATGCGTGAGTAGAGAGGGTAGATAACTAAATAAAAAGCATGCATCACTACAGGGCACGAAAGAACGAGTCTGAAAAAGTGTATGTGTGTAGGTGCTTCTAGTTGGTCGAACTTCACTTTAGCTTTTATAGTTTAGTTTGAATTAAAAAAAAATTTCTAGTATATTGGCATTATTCTAATTTTTGCAATTTCTTTTTCATACAACTTTTTGATTTATACATTCCAAATTTTACCATTTTCCGAAGGTTTTTAAAGAATTTATGGTGCAAACATAACCATCTTCTCTCGAATTTTTGTTCTTTTCCAAATTTGAAAAGTTTTCTTATATATTCTTCGAATTTTTCCTTCCGAAAAGTTTACGTCGCTTTCGTTAGTATCTTATTAATGTACATCCCTATCCCACACCCCCCTCCCCAACCCCAATCCCCATCCCAAACCCCCCTCCCCTGGCTCGGGCCCCACCGGAAACTGACGGTAATTCCCCTCGTCTATTCCTGTGGGGCTCGAGTAGAGGGTGATGAATGAACCCCATTAACTAGTTGAAGGTAGTTACTGTTACCACTGACAGGTTACACATCTAGTCATCACACTTGGTTCAAGAATTGTTAGTTGTCATGGTAGGTAGTGGTACTACTAACTGCTATACAAGTGATAATCATGGTAGGTAGTGGTTCCACTAACCGGTATACAAGTGATAATCATGGTAGGTAGTGGTTCCACTAACTGGTATACAAGTGATAATCATGGTAGGTAGTGGTACTACTAACCGGTATATAATTAAGTGATTAACATGGTAGTTACTATTACCACAAACTGGTATACAAGTGATTATATCACAGTCCAGTAACTCACAGTTTACAAATTAATTTATCATTAATAAATCACTAATGACAAGAGACATGAATACTTCAAACTAGCACCATGCTGGTTAGTCACTCTTGCCGTCAGTATTTGCGTTAGTATTCGTAATGAACGTTAAACCAAATATTTTCTTTAAAGCTAATCACAAAGTGACCAGAAGTTACTGAAAGTTGCATTACTTAGCAGATTGTGGTTACACTTAAGCAATTAATTTCGATATAGTACAGAGCAACGCGTTTTGGAGCTATTTTCAAAACATATTCCGATTTTTATAGCCTGGTCACTATCAGTCACTATTATAAGTGGTAGTTGAAATATATATAATCAGTCACACTTATAATTGGTAGTTACCTGTAGAAGTTTAGGGAGTAGGTTTTCCCCTATAAATGGTAGTTGTCACAATAAAGGACAATCGCCAAGATATTACTAGGGTATAACTAGACGTAGTTATGATATAGTAAGAGTTTAAGGAGTAGGTTTTCCCCTATAAGTGGTAGTTACCTGTAGGAGTTTAGGGATTAGGTTTTCCCTACAAGTGGTAGTTACCTGTAGGAGTTTAGGGATTAGGTTTTTCCCTACAAATGGTAGTTACCTGTAATCCTCTACATTATTTTCAGCCATTACGGGGTCCGAGACTCTATAGTAGACAACCGCATCTACCGACACCGTGACATGGTCCCGCGATAGTATCTGTAACAGGCAGCCAACCATTGTAACTTGCCACATGCTTACCAGTTAACAAAATAATGTGGATGGGTAGAGATAAACATGATAGTTGCACCAGTATACAACTCGCAACTCAGGTTACTCACGACTAAATTACAACCATAAATAGGTTGTGCCTTAGTAGTGACTTTGTTGTAACATAGTCGTGACTAGGTAGTAACTTAGTCGTGACTAGGTTGTAACTTAGTCGTGACTAGGTTGTAACATAGTCGTGACTAGGTTGTAACATAGTCGTGACTAGGTTGTAACAAAGTCGTGACTAGGTTGTCACATAGTCGTGATTAGGTTAAACATAGTCGGGACTATAGGTTGTAACCAAGTTGGGACTAGGTTGCAATATAGTCGTGACTAGGTTGTAACATAGTCATGACTAGGTTACAACACAGTCGTGACTAGGTTGCAACATAGTCGTGACTAGGTTGTAAAATAGTCGTGAATAGGTTGTAACATAGTCGTGACTAGGTTGCAACATAGTCGTGACTAGGTTGTAACATAGTCGTGACTAGGTTGCAACATAGTCGTGACTAGGTTGTAACCAAGTTGGGACTAGGTTGCAACTCAGATGAATACTGTAGTAGTTATTATATTGTAACTTAGTCGTGGCTAAGTTGCAACTTAGTCACTACATGATGGAGTAGTGATTTCTACTGAGGGGTGACAATTCATGTCGAGGGTTGACAACTTTACTGATGGGTTACCCAAGTTTCATCCAAGGGGGGTGACAACAATGCTTGGGAGGGTGACAGTTATTGTTGAAAGGGTGACAATTTTTACTGTTATTATGGGCAGTGACATTTTTAAGGTAATGGGCGAACAGTTCCACAAATGCAACTAAAAATTCAAATATCCTGTCGGAAACATAGTTGGGAGGAAGCCCGTCAAATTTTGCTAGGGCAAACCCAGGACGACAAAAAAATGTTTTGCGTGTGAAACCGACGCATTTTTGCGCTAGGTTAGTCACCGTCAAAAAACGAGTCCCCATTCAACACCAACCCATTAGTCGGGGCTGCATTTAAAAGGTGTTAAATGAACATAATGGAAGTGAAAAAATTTACATTTGATTATGAAATAAAATTTGCGAATTTACAAGTTTGAGACTCAATTTCAAAAAATTTGAAATAAATTGCATTTTTTAATTTTAATTATGGAGGTTTTATGCAAGTTTAATTCAGATTGCTACTCATAAATTGGTTCTAGTATTTTTCGTATGAAAATTTTCGAGAATATGCAGCTACAAACATTTTTTGGCCCCCAAAACTGATCTGGAAAATTAAAAAAAAAATTCCACGTCCATAATTAAAGTGATTAATTAGAATTATTTAATTCAAGCTAAATATAACTCGTCAGTAAAGTTGAGTTAATGCGAGCGAATTTTAAATTGAAAAATTTCGAATGAGAAATTTCGTGCAATCGAAAAAAACACAGAAGAAATTGCAGGCAAAAATTGAAAAATTTTGAAAATGTGCAAATTGGTTTAAAAAAATTACTCGAGGAAAAATTGAGATATTAAGTAATTTTGAAACATCCGGAAAAAATAAAAATATTGTTAGAAAATATTTAGTTAATGAATCAAAACTTAGAAAATGCCAAAAATAGAAATTCAGGCGGATTAAATTTTTCAGGCAAAAAGAGGTTAAAGGAAAAATAAATTAAGAATTCAAAAAAATTTCTGAAAAAAAGGAATATTCGAGAAAACAGATATTTGAATCTAGAACAATAAAAGTTTAAACTAAAACGATGTGCTAGTTAGGAATTTTTTTATTATAAAATTAATAAATTGCTGGCAAAAATATTTTTCGAACAATTTTAAAATTTCAATTTTTCAACTATAAAGCAAAATAACAAAATTTATTTTTGATCTTGTGAAATTTTCATGTAATAAAAAATTGATCTTCCAATGTATGAGGCTTACCGTTCAAAATTTTTGTTAATAAAATGATGGTCTCATCATTGAAAATGGGTCCTTCAGAACTTGTATGTAAAAAAATATTTTGATCACCTAAAGAGTATTTAATTACTTTTAATTACTTTTTTTGACTTAAAGTAAAACTTCACAAATTTACAAAGAATAAATATGTACTTTAACTAAATTTATGTAGGAATTTTAAGAAGTTATAATAGAATTGAAGTGTATGTTACATGTATTTACAACTATAAAAATTCGAAACGTAGATGTTACATAAATAATATAAATAAGATTCATCTCAAATGTTAACTTTATTTATCTAAGTTCCTCATTCCTTTACATTTTCAAATTGAAACCAAAGTAATTTGAAAAGCTTCAGATTTAGAATTTTTGAAGTTGAGTTTTTTTAATTCATTATTTTAATATTTTCATTTAGAATTTCAATGGAAAATTTGTACGACATTTTGGAACGAAGAGAAATTCATTCACACGATATGAAGGGGTAATATTTTTAATGGGACTCATCAATGGTAAATGGGATGAATAATGCGATGATTTTAATAGAGTTTAATAATTAATAATAATAATTAAATATATTAAATAATAATTTAATAGATTTAATTGAACATCTCATTGAATGGTCGCTATTATATAGGCACCATTTATAATAACTATTGCTCTTAATGGACATCTTTATTGGCTGGAAAAATTTGTACGAGCAATGGTCAATTTAATGGAAAAGCTTATTTAATGTATATTGTATATGCCAGCCGTGAGTCGCGGCTAGCTCGAAATTACACACAGAGAGATAAATGGGTTAAAAAGTGCGAGATTCTCATAAGGCATTGACTCACCCACATGAGTCACTCATGTCACTCATCATACATTGACCAGAAAATGAATAAAATGTATAATGACATCAAACTTTTAATATGAAAGTGAAAAAAAAGTGAACAAAACAAGTGAAATTGGGAGAGGGGAACCATATTTTTACGTTTTATTACAAGTTATTCTTTTTTCAAATTTCAAGTTACGCAATGAGGTAATGTATATATATATATATATAAATTATTTGAGTATATATATAAATATATATACATGTTGGATGATGTAAGAGTTTACAATGAAGATAATATGATGATGTAACAATGATGAATGATAAGAGGTGACCATTAGATACCATTTGATGATGACCATGTGTACCATTAGACATCATTTGATGATGAGGGAGCCATTGGCACCATTAGAATGATGATAAAACCCTTACAATTGGTAACACTGCCACTCACAGATACTATCGTGATTACCACGTCGTTACCATTACTACCATTACCTTCACCATTACCTTTACCTTCTTTACCCCCAACATTACTCCAGCATTACCACAAACATTACCTGAACCATTATATTCGCTGTTACCTCCTCCATTAGTTTTACCGTATCCTCAACTATTACCAGCACCACTACCTAAACCATTACCTAAACCATTTCCTCTACCATTGTCTCCACCATTACCTGCACCATTACCTCCTCTAGGCTGCCATTATCTTCATAATAGAAATTAAGTTCGTCTATGAAGTTTATCATTTGCATGGGTTTTTAAAATCTTTTTTACAGGATTAAGCATTTAAATTAAAAATACTCATATCATAAAGAAAAAATGAGTAAACATTTAAGCAAGGAATAATAATCGTATAGAACTCAAATCAGAACCTAAAATTAAATTTAGCTTTAAATTTATCTGAAATTTAGAAATTCCAAGTTCGAAAGAAAAACGTTAAAAAAATCCGTCATATAACGGAAATAATCTAAAGGATTAAAAAAACTTCTGGAAAAACATGCTTGCTTAAAAAAATATAAGTAAAAAAATTAAATTAAATAAAAACTTCTTCGTACAAAGGAACTAAGCCCGTTTTCAGAACATACACTGGCCCGATCTAACCCAAGGTAACGAGTGAGAACCCACCACTCAGATCATTATTGGAGAAATTTTGTCCGATTACCGACACATTTTCTTACACGCATCACGAGCAGTGTACGGAGGGAGCACTGATTCGCTCTATTATTGAAATAAATTGAGTCAAAATGACCCCGGAGGGCAAAAAGTGCTTCGAAAGTCGGACACTTCCTAACTCATATCTCCAAGTGATATATTTTCATTTTATTAGAAGTATTCATTTTTCTCAAATTACGAGTTACGCATAAAAAACTGCAGCCAAATTACAAGCACAGGTGAAGGCCCTAACATAATATGAATGCTGGTGCAGCTCTGTATCAGGCGCCGCCCAGGGCTCGGGGAGCACCTAAATCAGCCGCTAATGTCCGCCTCGGCCGGGCTCAAAGTACAGCCTCTGGGCAGCTGGTGATCTCGGCATGACTCGGCCGGACCAATACTTCTCATACTGTCAGGACCCACTTGTCATAGCGTGGCCGTGGGCGTTGACGTAAAGAATTCGTTGTGAGCTAACAAAGTTGCAAGCCAAATGTCAAACGCAGTTGTTTTATTTGTTTACTTTCAATTTGTTCCATTCGTCTGTAGATTATCTTGTATCCTCATTTTGCTGCCTGTTTGTCATTGGAATTGCTTAAACACGGCAACTTACGACAACATTTCTACGAACTAAATCTATTGCATCAAAAATAATTTACTTTGAAGATAACTGAAAGAATAGGAACGAATTCTGTTAACAGGAAACGATTCAACAGCGACCTGCTGGGCCAACAGAAGAAGGGCAAGGAAAGCGAGTAAAAAACGTACGTAGGAACTTGAAAAATAAACGAAAAACAGAGAGAAAGTAGAATTAGATCTCAGGTACGTAATATTTACATACTTTTCAAATACGAACGTAATAATTGACAATGACTGGCGGCATTTTCGCGACTAGATTTATCCAATAATAATTTGATAACTATTGCTAAGAATTATTAATTTGCGATTTAATTTCTTACTAAATAAATTTTGAGTGATTATCCCTAGAGGTAATTAAAATATAAATTTTCTAGCTATAAATTTGATCTATTTTCATACCCTTTTCCTAAGCCAACCGAGATTTTTTTTGCCTCAATTCACGAAAAAATTTGATTTTTGTCAATTTTTCTACGGGGAAATATTTTTTGTAAATTTAAATTCATTTCTTGAAAAGATTTATACATCGAATGGGAAATAGGAATTCAAAATTGAAAGTTAAGATTTACCATTTAATAAACTCATGTCATAAAGGACGATATAAAAATTGCAATGTAATAAATATGCCCGATGTTTGTGATGTTGAATGTGAACCTAAAAAGGCAGCTGAGCGTTACCATTTGTAAACGTTTTACACAATTCTACACGCATGATAATGTATGGATCTTTTTGTCCACATATTGACACACTCTCAGCTCGTAGCACTGAATCTATAAACTGGTTCACGATGCCTCAATCGAGCGTAGAGAGTGCTTCGCTATATGGACAAAGTCCTTCATATTTACCTGGGTGTAACAGGTAGCCAGTCTCACCTCTTTTTTCTAATTACCCTATATTTACCTCAACTTACCCTATATATACCCACAATTTACCCTCAATTTCTCTCAATTTACCCTCAATTTAGTCAATTTATCCTCAAATTCCCTCAATTTACCCTCAAATACCTTCAATTTACCCTAAAGTAACCACAATTTACCCTTAATAATCCTTCTCCGCCAATCATTTCTATTGTTTAGTTACGCCGAGAAGTTTAGCAATAATATTTTTTACGATCTCAATGAAAAATTGTGTACAAAAAGAATTTTTTCAGCTGCAATACAAACTCAAACAATTAAAAAAGTTCAGGACAAATTTTTTATCAAAATGAAGCTCACTTGTAAAACGATTATTTTTACTTTAAAAATTATAAAAATTTCATTGGAAACTTAAGTAAAAAGTAAGAAATAAGAGAAAATTAAATGTAATGGTAACCAAAAAGGGTGAAAAATTTAGTTTAGCGGGGCAAGCAGTACCCAAATTACATAATTAATACCATATTAATTAAATTCGTTAATAATGTAACATAACCCAAGATTCGTGCGCATTTACTATAAAAAATAGGAGAGTTTTATCCATTGTGCAACAAATAATGCAAACAAAATACAAATAAGGAGTCATAAGACGACAAGTTAATTCATATTTGATTTATTTAATTGCATTTAAGTAGAAATAAAAAAGTAGAATAAATTGAGTTAAGCAGGCAACCACAACAACAGGACAGGAGGAGTCAGCCAATCAGCATGCAGGAGAAATGTGGCACACAAGCAACGCGCTACGGTGTGCCAAATGTACAGACTGTTTCCTTCACTATTTTCTCATATAAACAAATTATAGCGTAACATGGATATTTCTGTGCCAAGTGACGCATTAAATGACGTCCTGGTAATAAGGAAACAATATTATAAATGGAGATAAGATGAACATGCAGAGGGAGATGTGGCACACGAGCAGGGCTCCGCTGCGCTGTCAGATGTACGATGACGCCGTCCAAAGATGTGCTATCATCCTGCTATTCTTAGCATCAATAATAATAATGATTGCAGTATTAAGCAGCAATAAGAATGAACATAAAAGCATTATCATCAATATCATGTGCAGCATAGAACATTGGATGATTGTTTACGTGATAAACACTGTAGATGAAAGAGCTGGCTGAAAGGTCAACTCTCATATCAAGATCAAAGTTTGCCGGCAATATTCACATGGTCAAGCCGCCTTATTTAGCAAAATTAAACCCAGTGCACATGAATTAGTAACTTCATTCCCTATACTAACAACTTGTCCAACATAGCGGTTTTTAACCTGATAAGAACCACTCACCTTCAGTCTGCTGGAATGAAAATATTAGTGACGATTGTGCAATGTTATTAGCACTTTGATGATATTGGTACAATTCAGAGTGACATTATAGTCTCCGATCTACAATTTTTCGATTCTGTAGTCTTTTTGATTAAGTAATGGTCAGCATCATTGCAGTTCGTGGATGAAGGTTATATGAATCTACGTCGTTGTTATGCAATTCTACTTCAAGTTATACGATTCCCCGTAGGATTCCCACCACATGAGCCCACCTCTTGAGGCGGGACGTCAAAGGACACGGTCCTGAGGTCGATCTTCCTGTAGGAGTCGATGCAGGGAATGACGAAGAAGATGCCGGGGCCTTTGGCGCCGCCCTTCAGGAGGCGACCGAGCCTGAAGATGACGGCCCTCTCGTACTCCTGCACCACCTGCCGACGAGAGAGGGGTTAGGAGGCGATGTATGGGCGTGGTATGGGCGCGAGGGACGGAGAGCGACGAAGGTGGAGCATCATTGCGAGCGCAGCCGTGCACCACCAACTTTGTGCACCAATAAGCCCAGAATCGAACGCCTTAGATCTCTCCGGACATCCACCAATCAGCCGTGAACCACTCGGCTTTGTCCTCCAGCCTTGCATAAAACCTGCCTTGAACCACCAGTCCGCGGATCGAATATGACTTCCGGGCATCGTTAAATTACGTAATTTTACGTTCACAGCATCTGAGGCTAGGTTTCAGATAGCATAGTTCAGTTCCAAAATTTATCGTCCATCGACGAGCGGCCGTTCGACCGAGGGTTGGTTCTAAGCACGGCCTATATATGATTGTCCAGAAGTGTTGAAGGCTACGTTCCGGAAGGCAGGAATCATGATGGTCCATTACATCCAGAGCAGTGGTGGTCTTTGGCAGGCGACCGGTCTCATCATAAGGTCTTTGGGAGAGTTAGGGAGGTATGAGCGTGGCTCAGGTAATATGGGAAGGTGCATGGGCGTGGCGCAACGGCGAGGTATGTTGATAAACGGGCGTGGCAAAAGGAATGGGAGGGTAAATGGGCGTGGCATGTGGGCACGGGGGCGGAGGATGTGGTGTGCATGGACGCGGAATGGGAAGTACACGGGCGTGACACGAGACTTAAATGGGCGTGATATGCTGGGTGCACGGTGGTGTGGTATGAGGGCTGCTTGGGCGTGGATTTGGGTTGCACAGACAAGGCACGAGGGTTCCAAGGGCGTGGCATTAAGGCTATGTGGGCGTGGAGAGGGAGTGTGCATGGGCGTGTCATGGTTGCGAGGCCACATCTAGCTTCCAATCTTGGGTAGGAATCAGCTGGGCGTCTGAGCGATGAACATTCCAGCTGTTCCGACGGCAAATTTGTCGTTCAAGAACATAACTGAGAAGCATTCTGAGTTTGAAATCTTTTCCTGTTTAACACGTCAAGGATCACGACTCTGTACGATCGTTGGTATGAGCCTTTGATGGTTTGAAGTTACCTTTCGTTTGAACATAACACTCAGGAAGCTACCATAACCGCCACATAGGTATGACCTGAGATGGGTGTAGGTGACCCACAACTAGACGTGGCAAGGGCGTGGCATGGGCGGAGTGTGCTGCTCGTGAGTCTTGTGTAATGACACACCATATGACATTTCAACTCCAACCGTATTTTAACTCAACATTCAACCCACACTCCACTTTCAACCCGCCCTCCGCATTTCAACCCACACTCCACTTTCAACCCACCCTCCGCATTTCAACCCACACTCCACTTTCAACCCTCACCCGACTTTCAACCCACACTTCACTTCCAATCCACACTCCGCATTTCAACCCTCACCCCACTTTCAACCCACACTCCGCATTTCATCCTACAATTCATGTTGAACCAAACCAAAAACTACACTTTCAACCCATTCTACATGTTGAACCAAATTTCAGCCCATAATCCGCTCCTTTATTTCTTGCTCTAGAAAACTTTGTGCATGGGAAGTTGAAAATTCGCTGAAAAGCTCAAGTTTATGCAGGAACTTTCCTCGCTTGGCCGAGCCCAAGTTAGGGAGGAAGCTTGCAACCCCCCGTCCTCCCCCTCCCCTGAGGGGCTACAGGACCCCGCGGGGGCGAGGTCGGGGGACAAAAGTTGCCAGAAGTGATAAATGCCGCTACCATGAGGACACAATAAAAAAATGAATGGCTCATATTGTCCAAATAATGACACACTTTCTTAGCCACAGCAAGAGCAGAGCGTGGCGGTAGCACTGATACTCCCTTTTGTCAGGCCAAACTAAATCAGGATGACGCACACGAGGGTGAAAAGTGCATGGTGACACAATGTCACCATGCACTGGGGATAAAATGGAAATTGTTGCAAATCCAATGGAAATGTTAAAGAAAAGTTAGAACAAGAGAAGTCCTTTCAGGCTAACATCTTTGAAGAAGCCTTCCTCCGCATAGATGGGTGGCCACGTCTGTCAACGATCGACAGTAAAAAAAAACATAAATCGAGACGGCGTCCACTGTAGTTTATCCAACGTAGAAAAAAGTTATTGGATTGCTGGCCATCCGAGATCAAGACGAAACCATGATTTTGTTTTGTGTTCTTGGCTGTTAGGATTAAAAGTAAATTTTCTGAATTTAGGCGTGTGTATAAGAGTCAAAACTGACGAGGTAGCAACATCGCTGCACCAGAAGCACCAAAGCCGCAACGACCGAGCGATCCAATCGCGCTGTGAGGAGAACATACGACAACGCAACCAACGTTACTCCTGAAATAGTTCGGGTATTGCTTTCAAAAATGAATAGAAGGAAATTCAGTGAACGCGCTTCATCATTTGATGCCACACAGACGTCATCTTCGGCATTGTGCACTAAACGGGAAACGGTAATGCCATTATGTCCAGTAACTAACCCATTACTGGAGGGATTAATTACTGGAGGGATTAGTTACTGGAATTATGAAGACCTAACGTTCCAACAAGGCGCTCGACCAAAGATATGACTAACGCTCCTATAGAGGAGCGGTAACCAAAAAAATATCTATCTTTTGCATCGGCAATCCGGAGTGCAAGAAGCTGCAAAAGATCTAAACTTATGGACGATACACAAACGAGGGTGTATACAGCCTTAACATACGCCTTAACAGTTCAGCGGGCCATACTTTCAAAACTCGCTAAGTGAACGTAAGTACTATTGAGGTCCTACGTCCTATGGAGAAAAATTGAAGACTATGAAGCTTCCAAGCCGCAGTTATCGACGTCTGCGTGGGGACCTCATTGAAGTATACAAGTATACTCATGGTTTAAACAAGGTCCCCGATGGATTACTAGAATTTGAAACAAGAACCAACACCAGGGGCCACGGCTATAAACTAAAAAAAAACTGCACTGCAACTTCTCCACGCGACAAAATTTCTTCTCGCTTCGAGTCACCGACATGTGGAACAGCCTCCCCGATGACATCGTTGGCGCTCCAAGTATGAACGCGTTCAAGAACAGACTAGATAAAGCTATGGAAAAATATATGTTCAGATTTGAAATGCCTAGCTCCT